GGCAGCAGCTCTGGACCCAGGTGTCCAGCAGCCCCCAGGGCTGTGTATTGGGATTGCTCCCAGGATGTGGGTCAGGGTCTACTCCACCCTGTGCAGGGCTTTGTCTCAGCCCCCCCGGGCTGTGCCCTGGTTCCTCCCAGGGCTGTGGGTCGGGATCTAATCCCCCAACCGCAGGGCTGAGCTGCTGGCACTGGGGTGCCCCAGGCTGATGGGCCTGCTCTTGCCCAGAACTGCAGGGGTTAAAGCCAGGCAGCTCCACCCTGGTTGGCTGAAGCGTGGCAGAGGGTGTGGCCTATGCAGTCACTCCCACCACTGTTAACCAATCAAAGAGAAGCTCTTCTCCAGCCCCCTCCCCCGCCACAGGATGAAGAACTCTAGCAAGCTATGGAGCAGCGCTATTAGTTGCTGGGCTCTAGCAGAAGAACCCATTGGTGGGTGGAGGCTTAAAGGGCTGGCGCTGCAAACCCCCCCCATTGGTAGGTGGGTTCTTAAGGGGCTGGTGCTGTATTATGATAGGTGGATCTACAAGTCCACCATTGGTGGGTGGAGGCTTAAAGGGCCACGCTGCATTGTAATAGGTGGATCTGACCCATTCCTCCCAGCCCCCACCCACACTCTCATTCCAGTAATGCAGACAAGGCACTGTGGGGTCAGAGGTCGAAGGTTGTCGGGTCGCAAAGTCCAGTGGGTCATGTAGGCACATCTGCCCGTCGTGGCTGGAATGGAGGGGGCAGCGTCTGTCTGGCGTGGGGGGCGAGGGGAGGGCTGGCGCCGGTGGGGTGGCGTAACTCCATTGTGCGGGAACCTAGGCAGCAGGGGTCAGTGCTGGGAAACGATCCCGCTGGCCAGGGAGTGAGTCTGCAGAGAGAGACACGGGCATCAGGGGCTGGCACAGCTGGGGCGGGACAGACTTGGGGGAACCAGGCTGAGGGGGGGGGCAATCCCCCCTCTGTGAATACACTGGAGAGATGATCCCTCGGCAGACTGGGGGGATCCCACCCCGATCCCACCTCAGGGGGAATAGACTGAAGGGACCATCCCTGCCCCACACACCTTCATGGCCTGGTGGATCCAGTCGTGGAAGGCGCCAACCTTGGTGTAGACCCCTGGCTTTTGGGGCAGGGCGCAACCGGTGCCCCAGCTGACCACGCCGCAGAGCCGCCAGCGCGGGGTGCGGGAGATGCCGTCCTCACACACAAAGGGACCCCCGCTGTCACCCTGCCGAGAGGGAGACAGGGAAGGGGTCAGTGCCCTAGCACTGGCCCCCACTGCCCACCCGCCCCGCCCGTCTCGCCCGGCCCCACCTGGCAGGCGTCGGTGCCACCCTCAGCGTAGCCAGCGCAGAACATGCGGGGGCGGATCTGGTTGCCATAGTATTCAGGCGAGTTGCACAGAGCGGTGCTGATGATGGGCACGGAAGCCTCCTGCAGGATGCCGGACTGCTGCCCTGGGGGAGATGGGGGGGAGAGTGGGCATGGGGTCCCCCGCCCTGCCCCCACCTGCCCTGCATCCACCCCCCCAAACCCGACTCCTGACCACCTGGCAAACGCCCCACCCATCCAGCATTCCCCCCCCTGATTCCAGCCACTGCCTGCCCCACATCTGCCCCACCCGCCCTGAATGTATGCCCTCCTGCCCCTGCCCACCTGGCATCCACTTGCCCGCACCCAGCCCCTGCCCACCTTGCTTCTTCCCCCACCCAGAACCCTGCATCCAGCCACCCGGTGTCCACCCGCCCCTGCACCCAGCCCCCGCCTGCCCGACATCTGCCTCCCCCCCAAACCCAGCTCCTGCCCACCTAGCTTCCATCCCCCATCTGAACCTGGCCCCCGCCTGTCCGGCATCTGCCTCCCACCTGAACCTGGCCACTGCCCGCCTGGCATACTCCCCCCTACCCCTCCCACCCAGCATCCATTGTTGGACTACATTGATAATTGGTATATTTCTCTTTGACTGGATTGCTAAAAAGGGAAGGAGGAGGGAAGACGGAGGATCCGGGGAACTACAGGCCAGTCAGCCTCATCTCAGTCCCTGGAAAAATCATGGAGCAGGTCCTCAAGGAATCAATTCTGAAGCACTTAGAGGAGAGGAAAGTGATCAGGAACAGTCAGCATGGATTCACCAAGGGCAAGTCATGCCTGACTAACCTAATTGCCTTCTATGATGAGATAACTGGCTGTGTGGATGAGGGGAGAGCAGTGGACCTGTTATTCTTTGACTTTAGCAAAGCTTTTGATACGGTCTCCCACAGTATTCTTGCCGCCAAGTTAAAGAAGTATGGGCTGAATGAATGGACTATAAGATAGATAGAAAGCTGGCTAGATCATCGGGCTCAACGGGTAGTGATCAATGGCTCCATGTCTAGTTGGCAGCCGGTATCAAGCGGAGTGCCCCAAGGGTCGGTCGTGGGGCTGGTTTTGTTCAATATCTTCATTAATGATCTGGAGGATGGCGTGGATTGCACCCTCAGCAAGTTTGCAGATGACACTAAACTGGGAGGAGTGGTAGATATGCTGGAGGGTAGGGATAGCATACAGAGGGACCTAGACAAATTAGAGGATTGGGCCAAAAGAAATCTAATGAGGTTCAACAAGGACAAGTGCAGAGTCCTGCAGTTAGGATGAAAGAATCCCATGCACTGCTACAGACTAGGGACCGAATGGCTAGGCAGCAGTTCTATAGAAAAGGACCTAGGGGTTACAGTGGACGAGAAGCTGGATACGAGTCAGCAGTGTGCCCTTGTTGCCAAGAAGGCTTACGGCATTTTGGGCTGTATAAGTAGGAGCACTGCCAGCAGATCGAGGGACGTAATCATTCCCCTCTATTCAAAATTGGTGAGGCCTCATCTGGAGTACTGTGTCCAGTTTTGGGCCCCACACTACAAGAAGGATGTGGAAAAATTGGAAGGAGTCCAGCGGAGGGCAACAAAAATGATTAGGGGGCTGGAGCAGATGACTTATGAGGAGAGGCTGAGGGAACTGGGATTGTTTAGTTTGCAGAAGAGAAGAGTGAGGGGGGATTTGATAGCTGCTTTCAAGTACCTGAAAGGAGGTTCCAAAGAGAATGGATCTAGACTGTTCTCAGTGGTACCAGAAGACAGAACAAGGAGTATTAGGAAAAACTTTTTGACTAGGAGGGTGGTGAAGCACTGGAATGGGTTACCTAGGGAGGTGGTGGAATCTCCTTCCTTAGAGGTTTTTAAGATCAGACTTGACAAAGCCCTGGCTGGGATGATTTAGTTGGGAATTGGTCCTGCTTTGAGCAGGAGGTTGGACTAGATAACCTCCTGAGGTCCCTTCCAGCCCTGAGATTCTATGATTCTATGAACTGGTATATTTCTGATATGGGAACTGTAAGACAGGGTAACTCCAGAGCAGACCCAGAATTTGGCCTGACCATTAGAAAGGAGTGTTTCTCAGCCACGCTGCTGATCTGTGTTAATTGAAGTTGCTTATCAGCTTCACAAGGTCGCTGTTAATTGTAGAAGCAGATCCAGAGACAAAGAGTTTGTTCTAAAACTAACAAGATAACAGCTGGCCTTTATGACTGGTACAACTTTGTTGTGTAATATTTGTGAACCCTCCCCACTCTTGCATGCTTATCTTGTTTGTTTCCTTTTAGATGTAACAAGTGAATAGACTTATTGAAGTCTGCCATGCCCCACTGATTTTAGACTGGTTATGTTAAAGGATGGGAGGTGATACAATGCAGATGTGACAGGATACACGGTGGCATGTGAGTGTGATTGTATGTGTGATTGAATAAGAAATGAAAGATTAAAGGTTGAGGTGCCAGCCTTAAAATAAGGCCGTTTGGCTGAAGAATGCAGTGGACGAGATAGCCCGATAACCCCAAGGGCATCCACCCACAATTGCCCCAAGGACAGGAGGGCCAAAGAACAAGATAACAACATACTGTCATTCCATCATTGCTGTGCCATCTGCGTGATTGACTATCACGTCAAACATGAGATCAGCATGATGAGGCAAACCCCATAGACTTACATGAGGATGGATCCCTATAAAAACAGAACCTGAAGACTGAGGACTTTGGGTCTGGTTCTGCAACCAACTTCCAGGAGCATCGGATGCGCATCTGACAAGGCCCGGCTCCATCCTCGTGTCCAGGCCGCCTGGCCAGTGACTTGGCAACCTTGCAGAACGTGTGTGTGTGTGTGTGAGAGTGAGTGAGTGAGTGAAATGTTATAGCTACAACTGATTGCTTACTCTAATTATTCTTTCAATATTCACAATAAACATGGCATTTTGCCTTATTCCCTGAAAAGATCCTGTTGTTCTTCATTTTCTAGTATAACACCATGCCCCCTGCACTGAGCCCGACTGCCCGGCATCTGCTCCTCCTCGCAACCAGCCCCCACCTGCCTGGCATCTGTCCCCCACCCAAACCCAGTCCCCGCCCACCTGACATCTACTCCCCCGGCCTGCCCGGCATCCACCTGCCCACACCTGCCCCCCACCTGCCCTACATCTGCCCCCACCCAAACCCAGCCCCCACCTGCCTGCTTTTCACCTGCCCCCGAACCTGGCCCCCACCTGTCCTGCATTGCCCCCCCCCCAACCTGGACCCCGCTCACCCAGGATCCACCTCCCTCCCCCAGAACCTAGTCCCTGCCTGACCAGCATCCACCCCCCAACTGCACCCAACACCCCACCACCAGGGCATCTGCCCCCTGCCTGAACCCCTACACCTGCCCCATCCCCAAACTCCGGCCCCACATCTACCTGGAATACGCTGCCCACTCCCCCGGCACCTGCCCTGGCACTTGAACTGTGACCCCCCCCCACCTGCCCACTATGTGCCTCCACCTGAACCCTGGCACCTCACCTGCCTGGCATCCACACCGGCATCTGAACACTGACACCCGTCCCTATAGAGGAGGGACCTCCGGAGTGTTGTGCCCCCATGGGGGCGGGCTTTCCTGAAGTTGATTCTTGGGGTCGCAATATTATGGGTTGCTCTGGGTGGCATCTTGGGAAGCCCCTCCTCATGGGCGGGGCCTAGCATTGCTCCCCATCCAGTTTTACCCGGGTTTTGGTTTCTGTGTCCAGGTGCCATTTAGGGTTGCCAGGTGCCTGGTTTTTGGGGACCTGACAACCCTAAATGGCATCTGAACCAAAAGCCTGGTTACTGGGGGCTGGGGGCAGGCTAGGGTTGCTAAGCATCCAGTTTTCAAGCAGAACACCCGGTGGGAAAGGGACCTGGTGGCTCCGGTCAGCACCGCTAACTGGGTGTTAAAAGTCCAGTCGGCTCCCTGCCTGCCCTGGCTCTGCGCTGCTCCCAGAAGCAGCCGGTATGTCCCTGCGGCTCCTAGGCCCAGGGGCGATCAGGGAAGCTCCGCACCCTGCCAGCACCCGCAGGCATTACCCCTGCAGCTCCCATTGGCTGGGAACCATGGGCACGTAGCGTGCAGAGCTCCCTGGTCCTCTGCCTAGGGGCTGCAGGGACATGCCGGCCGCTTCCGGGAGCAGTGCGGAGCCAGGGCAGGCAGGGAGCCTGCCTTAGCTTTGCTGCACCTCACCCGCACCCCAACCCCCTGCCCCAGCCCCTCGTCCCCAGCCCCATCCCAGAGCGTGCACCCCCAGCTGGAGCCCTCACCCCCTCCCACACCC